TTGGTCTGACCGGTTTTGGCTAGTTTTATATGTATTCTTGTAGAAAAACATATTAGGAGGCATCGGTTGGCCATAAAATCTATAAAAAAAAAAAATCAAACCTACTAGCGGAGGGGGAGGGGGTCACCAAGTGCGGCAGCTCTGCCGATTCTCCTTCGCAGCTGGGGTTTCTTCTTCGGGTAACCTACACAGAAAAGAACGGGGAACACAATGGTCAAAAAAATCGTATGAAACGAAAAACAATAAGGGGCTCATCAGAGAGAGTTTAGGGTTTTGGCTGTGGTAGCTTCGCCGGGATTTGTCCTCAGTTTTCGACTCACTCGTCATTTTTTTTACTCCAATATGACCATAGGGAGATTCAAAATTGAATTCTGAGCACAGAAGAGAAAATTTTATCTTTTTTGACGGTCTATGGTGGCTCTAGTGTGGGGGCGGTCAAGGATCGACCTCCTTCTCCGGTGTTTGGTTCTTCTTTTACGGCTATGGCTGGTCGGCTAGGGTTAGATTCTCTTATGATGCGATGTTTAAATACCCATCCTGTGTCGATCTGGGTCATCCGTTTGGGAACACGTGGAGCGAGAAGGGTCGTTCAATGATTTTTCATTTAGGCTGATTTCGTGAACGAATCTGGACCATTCATCACGATCAATCTTGTCCGTTTGATCACGTTTAAAGAAAGAATGCATTTGGGTCGTTCACGTGCGCGGGATGCTATCTGTCAGATCGCCCAGGCACACTGTTCGCTCATGTTGCTGACTGCTCCGTCCCACATAACCAATTTTTTTTTTTACGATTTAGGCCTATATTTTTAATTTTTCTTTCAAAAATACTCTCCAAATTTAAAAGTTTGCCCTTTTTTTTCTAAAAGTATTTTTAATTTTATCCATAATATATTTTTTTGAATAATTTAAATAAAAATTTAATTAAATTAATATTTTTAATTATTTATATATATTTTATAAATAAAAAAATTTATCTCGAGTCAAATTTCGGGTTCGAGTATTACATATGAAGAATCATCATATTTAAACTTTATTTCTTCATTAAGCAATCAACTATTTTTTTAAAATATCTAAATTTTAAATATTTCTACATTTGATTTTTTTTTTTAAATTCTATTAGATATAACAATAGAAATTTTATTTTAAACAACCATGTAAATCATATTTTTATTAAAAAAAAGTATACTCATTAGTGGCAAACTATTTTTACAAAAGTTCTATCATTCATAGTGTCATAAATAATCTAATATTTCATAAAGTAAAGTAAATAATATCAATTATTTTATCTTATAAAATACTCAGGTAAACAATTCTAAATAACAAATAACCTAATAATAAAATGATATAATGGTCAAAGTAGTAGTTATCAAACAAAACACATAACCTAAATTTTTCACTGATAAACAATAGCGAAAAATATATTATTCATAATTTCAACCCAAGCTTCACACAGAGAACATGCTTGTAATATCTAACTTATAATCGTAATCATGTAAATAATCTAAATTAGAAATACTGCCTCTAATAATTGCAAAACAAAAATTTAATATTTAGTTGAAACTCTATCATTTCAAATACTAAAGTCGAATATGGATTAAAACTATCCGTTCATTCATATTATAAATTTTAAAATATTTTATAGAATGTAACTCACTTATTAGTGTCTTTTAAAAAAAAAAGCAGGAAAATTTTTTTCAAGAAAAAAAAAGAAGAATTTTTTTAAGATAAGTTTTTGTAAAACTATAATAGTTTACCTAAAAAAATAATTATGTTATATAGGGTCATATGATATATAATCGTGGGGGACTAGAGTGTATAAACGTATATACCGTACAAGGTATACATGTACATGTACATATATATATATAAGGTGAATGAAGTGGATAGAATGGAATATTCTAAAGAATCATAAATGTTAAAAAGGTATGTTTGCATGAGCAAATATCTTTTTATGTTCCAAGTGCAAAAATTAAAGGAAAGAAGCAACCCTTTTTGTCTCTGTGCATTTTGGTATTTGGCAGAGACGGTTGGGATGACGCCAAAACTAAACAAGCCACGTAAACAAAGATACTCAAGGAAAGTATTTTTCAGAGTGGGACCCACAAAATGTTTCATTAGTCAAACATGGTTTTGGTCAGGGAAAAAAGGACAACTACCCAATCAACTAAAAACATCACCTCTAATTACATACATACATACATACATACAACTCTATTTTATATATTTGATAAATTATGCATCAAATATATAAATAACAACTAGCTCCTACGTAATCAAAAGATTAAAATCTATTAATTATATTATGCAAATTAAATTAAGTGTAAATTTACACAAATTTTTAAATTTATTTTAATCATAACCTAAATTATGAACAAAAGTAATTCAATTACAGTATTAATCTATAAATATTTATTTCAATAAATAATTATTCCATGACCACATCAGCACCGTTAGGTGGTTCTAGAAACATTTCTATTTCTCCCCGATTTAAGGAAAAAAAAAAGAAAAGAAATTTATGTAATTTTTTTCTAAAATTAATTACGTCCATATATATATATATGTATGTATATGATTTCTTAATATAAATATTTTTTTTATTTAAAAAAGCACATATTGACTTATAGTCATACTTAAATACATAATTTCTTTTAAAAAAAACAAAAAAAAAATAACTATTTAATTAAATAATAATTTAATTCGTTAATTATATGACAATCCAATGGTAAATTAGTTGGGTAAGAGTCCTCTTGTAGTTAAATAAGTTAGTTGTTATCTCTAACCTAACACTTTGGAAAAAAAAAAAAAAAAAAAAAAAACTCATCCTATTTTAATATATAGTTTACCTGCACCGATTCCATGACATCTAAACACTTATATATATATAATCTATATAATATAATGGATGCACACTACATGCCTGATGTAAATCTAACCCCACAACATTGCCATACCAACTAATCCTATTTTAATTAATTTTGTTTCAGTAATTATCTAAATAATTATATTTTTTATTAAAGTTTACAAAAAGTTGTCATCCTTTCAAATAAATGTCATTGATTGTTATGTAATTTCTCATGGACAAGTATACTTTTGACCTGTATAAAATTCCTTAAACAACTCATTAATAACCATTAATTGATTGTTAACATAATAATATTCGTTAATTTATTATAAAACTATGAGAACATAAATTAAATAAAACACCCAGTTAATTCCCGCGATTTATTACAAAAATTAGTTTATATTTTAATTAAAATAGCCTTAATTTATATAATATATTCGTCTATTAATACAATTTCTTTTCATAATATATATAGATATAGTTGCATCTGTGAAATGTGAGGGCATTGCACCGGCCGCATTGGTGCAAGTGATAAATGATAATAAATACATTGTTGCATTGGCTGGCCGTTTAATTTGTTCTTCTCACGAACCCGACGCTCCTTTCCTTCGTATTTTGACACGTGGCGGTCTCCCACCGGTTCTCAAATGCGCTATTGATTCAACTTTACTAACCTTGTACGTGGCTTCGTTTCATTGGTCCGTCTTAGCATCTACTCACCAATCTGATTCTCGTATCTATTTTAACTTCAACGGCAGCTCATCAGTCTCATGAAATCTCCACCCGTATTTTTTTTTTTTTTTTATACTTATTATGAAATTATAATATTTTTAAAAATATATTTGCGTTGAATTATTATATGATTTTAAATAATAAATTTTTAAATGATGGGCCAACTTCAACTTCAAATTAATTATATACTTTTGAATTCTGTTTTATTGTAAGATTTCGTCATAAATTACAACAATTTAATTGATACTTATTAAATTTCTAAATCATCCTAATTTGAATTCGTATTAATTATTTTTTACATGGTGATATATATTATATTAATCTTATTTTAAATAAGAATTCAAACTTAAATAAATCTTTTATCATGACTTAGATAATTTATGTTAAAATATAATGAAGATTAATTTTAAAATTTGAAAGCATGCTTTCATATATCTTGTTCAAATCATATCTAATATACTTTAAAAATAATAAATATAAGTAATTGAAAAGACCAAATCCAAGAGTGAACATAAATAAATTAATGTCATTGATAAACGAAAGCCTGCATTCAATATTATTGTTTGGTAATGTAAAAATTATAGAATTTATTACGTTTTTAAAAATAATTAAAAAAATACAAGTACAACATTCATAATTTTGTAAGGTGTCATTTTGTATTGACTTAAAATTAATAATATAAAATAACATGAATTATATAACATATAATATATATATATATTTTAAAAAAATTATTAAATGGTAACGTATGAGTTAGTCTTTAGATAAACTTGATAGGTTTTTGATTAACTTAAGACTTCTTAATTCCTTTAAAACATCTATTTAAATAATATAATATAATATATATCTGTTTAAAGGTTCTCATATTCTTATTATATGGATTTGATTTTTGCATTTAAATATAACACAACCTTATTTAAAATAATATAAAGAAAATGTGAAGTAGGAATGGGTAAAAGTTGGCTTAATTATAATATAATCTTGGTCATTAAAATTTTCATGAAGTATAATAAGAAAAAACATAAAGCAATTACTTAGTATAAGATGATATTGTCAACTAAAACAAAATTAAATATATTTTAGAAGAAAATAAATGCATGCATGTGAATACAAGAAGATGGTAACGAGGGTTCGTAGTGCTTGACGCGCAATGAACGTCTCTCTTCCCCCGCCATGACGGCGCAACTAATAATCAAATTAAGAGGATTTTAGTTTAATTTTGAAAAAAAATGAAAATAAATTTTTGTGATTTTTATTTCCTGAAAAAACGTCTCTGGTTTAGTTAATTATTTATTTTAACTCATAAAAAAGAAGGTAATTATAATCCACTGGAGGACAAACACTCAAGATTAATCTTTTTGATTATGCATTATTTAATTTAGCAAAACTTCTGTCTCTCTTCTTCTCTGAAGTTTCTTAAGATAGAGAAGGAGAGAGAGGAAAAGAAATATCAAAAACAACGAAGTCGTCGCCATTGATGATTTCGCGACCTCCTTCTCGTTTTTTTTTTTTTGTTTTTTCCCGCGAAATCATCATTCTTTTATTACTTTCCTCGAATACTCCCTTGCTCATGTAGCCACCATGCTCCGTGTTTCTTTTTCTCTTTTCTCTTTTTGTTTCATTCCCTCTTGTGTGTTTTTAAATTGATTTCTTCCATTCTCACGTTTCTACAAAAATAAAAAATTTGACATTTTCTCTCATTTTCTCGGCCACCATATGGCGAATGGAATGTCTGTTTATAATACATAAACGCATCAAGTCAAAATGGGTGATCTAGTCTCCGTTCAAAGCTTCCTGCTTGCTCGTTACAGAGGAAAAAAAAGTGAAAAAAAATTAAATATTCAAATATACTGCATTCCGTCTCCTAGATTCCTTCTGGGTTCTGTAGGTTTTAAAAGGCCCGCTTAATTCTCACGACGTTCTGATTTCCATAGTGTTTCGGTTCTGGGTACACTTGTTTTGTGAAGAAGATAGCCGTTCTCCCTATCCCAATAGAATTCGTAGATTGTGAGCTTAGTTTATGGTTGACGTGGAATAGTTTTTTTTTTTTTTTTTTTTTTTTCTGCTATAGAGAGTCTCCCCTGTGCTGCTTGCTTGTATTTATTAATCATATCTCGAATTTTAACTTACGGGTTTTTGGAGCTATTGCCCTTAAAGTCGACGAGGTCTTTGTTGTCTTCCTGGTAAACTGGAATTTCTCATCTCCTTTCACTTTTCTGGCTGCCTCTATTTAATTTTTTTTTTTCTTTTAATGAAGTTTGGGGCCTGTAATTTCTGGGTGTACGTTAGCTATCTGCTGTATTTATGAGTGCGGTATGCCTTTAAGGTAGAGGACCTTGCCTCTTTTACTGATTAGGATTTGGATTTTGTGGCTTTGGCTCCTTGAAGGAGACTGCATTTACCGCTGAAGATTGATTTGTGGCAAGAGCTTATTCTTGTTTAATTTTCTGGGCCTCTCTCTCATCTCCCGCTGGTTTTGTTCAATACTGTGTACTCTATTCCTCAAAAAGGAAAAGTGTACTGGTAATGCAAAAAGAGAGAAAGACACAGAGAATGGGCGGTGGGAAAAGGAAGAGGCTGCATTTCAGTAAGATCTATTCGTTTAGATGTGGTAAAGCTTCTTTCAAGGAGGATCATTCTCTGATTGGAGGACCTGGATTCTCAAGGGTGGTTTTCTGTAATGAACCTGGCTGTTTTGAGGCAGATATTCAAAATTATGTTGGCAACTATGTCCGCACTACAAAATATACTCTTGCTTCTTTTTTGCCTAAATCATTGTTTGAGCAGTTTAGGAGGGTAGCCAACTTCTTTTTCTTAGTAACTGGCATCTTGGCCTTCACTCGTCTGGCTCCTTATTCTGCTGTTAGCGCTATTCTACCTTTGATTCTGGTGATTGGTGCAACAATGGTAAAAGAGGGTGTTGAAGATTGGAGGCGGAAGCAGCAGGTATTGCCATTTGCTTGCGTAATTATTAAGCTTCAGTTTTGTTTAGTTTCCTTTTTTAGAGTCACGGTTTTGAATTATCTGGTAGGAACTGAGTCATACCAGTCTAAGGATTCCCCTTAAATGAATCTCAGCAATATTTTCTTTTTTTTGAGTTTTCATAATTTATATTCTAAATCATAATATGGGAAAATTGTGGAGGGGCGTCTTGAGGCTTGAAAGTGACCCCGAGACTAGGACATTTTTCTCATGTTTTTGCAGCTTAGTGCTTTAAGGAGCCTATCTATGGATGTGTATATATATTGGAAAGGGGTGTTTTAAAAGAAGCATGTTGTCATCATAACTACAATAAATACAAACAATTTTATAAGATAATTGCAGTGATAGATCTCCCCATTATGGTGAAAGCGAAGGGCGTTAGGATCTCTATAGATCCTATGGTTCACTGTAGTTCTATTTGTCTGCTTGTTTCATTTATATAGTGGATGCAAATGGATATTTTACCTTTGTTAGTACAATGGAGAGAATGAGTGATCTTTAATTATCTGTTAGCTACTTGTCTGCTGAAAGTTGAAAATGTTTTTAGTCAGAATACGCGGTAATAGAAAGCTATCAGGTATTTGGTGCTCCTATTTTTTATCGTTTGTATTAGTATGATGCTTTGAATTGTTTCTGTTTGTATGGTTTAGCTGTATAGCATTATTTTGTTATGTTTTCTTCATTCTTGTTGGAGGTATTGACCAGATTCTCACTGTTTTAATTAATGCGGTAAATGTTCAGGATATTGAGGTCAATAATAGAAAGGTTAAAGTGCATCAGTCTGATGGGGTTTTTGATTACACTGAATGGAAGAATCTGAGAGTGGGAGATATTGTGAAGGTAGAGAAGGATGGATTCTTTCCAGCAGACCTCCTTTTGCTTTCATCCAGTTATGAAGATGCAGTCTGCTATGTTGAGACAATGAATCTGGATGGGGAGACAAACTTGAAGCTAAAACAAGGATTGGAGGCAACTTCAATCTTCCATGAAGACTCTGACTTTGGTAACTTTAGAGCTATTGTTAAATGCGAAGACCCAAATGCAAACTTATACTCCTTTGTTGGAAGTATGGAGTTTAAAGAGGTCCAATATCCCCTCACGCCTCAACAGCTTCTCCTCAGAGATTCAAAGCTCCGAAACACAGACTACATATATGGAGCTGTTATTTTCACTGGTCATGACACAAAGGTCATTCAGAACTCTACTGATCCCCCATCAAAAAGAAGTAGAATTGAGAGGAAAATGGATAGAATTATATACTTCATGTTTTGCATCTTATTTTTGATGGCATTTGTTGGTTCTATTTTCTTCGGCATTGCAACTGATAATGACCTGGAAAACGTGAGGATGAAGAGGTGGTATCTAAGGCCAGATAGGTCTGAAATCTTCTTTGACCCTAAAAGGGCACCCATAGCAGCTATTTACCATTTCCTGACAGCCCTAATGTTGTACAGCTATTTCATTCCAATCTCCTTGTATGTGTCGATAGAAATTGTCAAAGTTCTACAGAGCATCTTTATCAATCAAGACATTCTTATGTACTATGAGGAGGCTGACAAACCAGCACACGCCCGTACCTCTAATTTGAACGAAGAGCTTGGCCAAGTTGACACAATACTTTCTGATAAGACTGGAACTCTGACCTGCAACTCAATGGAGTTCATCAAGTGTTCCATTGCTGGGAAAGCTTATGGCCGTGGTGTTACTGAGGTTGAGAGAGCTATGGGAAGGAGAAGAGGTTCGCCATTGATTCAGGATCATGAGGAGGCAAACAGGGACAGCCTAACTGATGATTCTCCTGAATCAAGATCAACCATTAAGGGCTTCAATTTCAAGGATGAGAGAATCATGAATGGAAACTGGGTTAATGAGCCTCATGCAGATGTCGTCCAGAAGTTTCTACGTTTACTAGCAATCTGCCACACAGCAATACCCGAAGTGGATGAGGATACTGGAAAGGTGTCATATGAGGCTGAATCACCAGATGAATCAGCATTTGTTATTGCCGCAAGAGAACTTGGTTTCGAATTCTATGGGAGGACTCAAACAAGCATATCACTAAATGAGTTGGATCTGGTGTCTGGCAAAAAAGTTGAAAGGTTAGTAATTCTCTTTTTTTTCTGCGTGTGTCTAGAAAGGTAAGTATACACTGGTTAAGACAAAATTTATATGGATTACATCCACGGATGGAAGTCTTATATAGTCTATAAAGAGTGGAAAAGAGCAACTACACCTGATTCTTTTTTATGCTTTGGCAACAGTTTTTAACCATTGACTTTTTTGTTGTTTAGTAGTACAAAAAGTAGTTTTTTCCTCTTTTTTTTCCTTTTTTTTTCATTTTGAGAATTTTCACTTGTCCACTAAATAGCTAAATTCGTGTTCCATATCCACAACTATGCACTCTTCAGCATTGACTCATAAAGGTATAATGTCTGAAGAAGTTCCAGTGCCTGTACTACATGGTAGCCTTCCACGTAATACACTTATTGTGCGGTTTTGTAATTATGGTTATAGAATGCTAGGATTTGGAATTGGATTTGGATAGTTTTTTTCTCTTTTTTTTTTTTCTTTTTTTTCTTTTTTTTTCCTTTTTCATTTCAAGAATTTTCACGTGTCCACTAAATAGCTAAGATTCCTAGCCTGTATCCACAAGTATGCACTCTTCAGCATTGACTCACTAAGTTATAATGTCTGAAGAAGTTCAGTGCTTGTACTACATGGTAGCCTTCCACATAATACACTTATCGTGCAGCTTTGTAATTATGATTATAGAATGCTAGGATTTGGAATTGGAATTGGAATTGGATAGTTGCTTTTCTTTTTTTTTTTTTTCTTTTTCATTTCGAGAATTTTCAATTGTCCACTAAATAGCTGAAATTCTAGTCTGTATTCACAACTATGCACTCTTCAGCATTGACTCAAAAAGTTATAATGTCTGAAGAAATTCCAGTGCCTGTATTACACGGTAGCCTTCCACATAATACACATATCGTGCAGCTTTGTAACTATGGTTACAGAATGCTGGGATTTGGAATTGGACTTGGATAGTTTTTTTTCTTTTTTTTTTCTTTTTTTCCTTTTCATTTGGAGAATTTTCTCTTGTCCACTAAATAGCTAAGATTCCTAGTCTGCATCCACAACTATGCACTCTTCAGCATTGACTCACAAAGTTATAAGTTCCAGTGCCAACACTACATGGTAGCCTTCCACATAATACCTTATTGTACGGCTTTGTAATTATGGTTAATAGAATGCTAGGATTTGGATTTGGATATTCCTTCGTGTTTCTCCATCTCTCTCTCTTTTTTTGTGTGTGTGTTTGTGTGAGATTGCATGCCCTTAGGAAGGTAATCTTCTTTTGTGCGTATATGTTGAAGTGAATAATTTTCTTTCCGCAGGTCATACCAACTTCTAAATGTTATTGAGTTTAACAGCACAAGAAAACGGATGTCTGTAATAGTGAGAAATGAAGATGGAAAGCTTCTATTACTTTGCAAAGGTGCTGACAGGTTTGTTATACATTACCTGGAAAACTTTGATGTACGAGAGCCCTGTATTTTTCCCTTGCATTTTGTGATCATTTTTTCTCTTCTCATGCAGTGTTATGTTTGAAAGGCTTGCCAATAATGGCAGGGAATTTGAAGAGAATACCAAAGACCATGTGAATGAGTATGCTGATGCAGGCTTGAGGACTCTGATACTTGCCTACCGAGAACTTAATGAAAATGAATACACAATCTTCAATGAGAAATTCACCAAGGCAAAAAATTTAGTTAGTGCAGATAGGGAAACAGTAATTGATGAAGTTGCAGAAAATATGGAGAAGGATTTAATTCTTCTTGGTGCCACAGCTGTTGAAGACAAACTCCAAAATGGGGTGAGTTGGAAAATATAAAGAGTACTGCATGACCTTGTTGAGGTAGCAGATGAAGCATGTTAACTTAGATCTTATGTTTTGCCTGCTAGGTTCCTGATTGCATTGACAAACTTGCGCAAGCGGGGATAAAGATTTGGGTTTTGACTGGAGACAAAATGGAGACTGCAATCAATATAGGGTAGGACTTTCTGCTTAGGACTTCTTTGGAATTTACTTTCATATTCTTTCCAGAAGGTCTCTGACTTTAAGAAAAAATATTTGCAGCTTTGCTTGTAGTTTGCTCAGACAAGAGATGAAACAGATTATGATAAACCTGGATACTCCTGAAATCAAAATGTTGGAGAAAATGGGAGATAAAAGTGATATCAACAAGGTAAATCATCTTTGGATCCCCGTATTCTTATTTCTTGTCATCACAGTTCACTTTCTGCTCATTATGGGATTATTTGCCTGAGAAGATTAGTGAGTAATTTTTTGCTTGAACCATTAGTAGAGCCTAAGTGATTGTTGTAGTGATTGAATTGATTCTAATATGTATGGACATGATCCATGACTGGACCAACCAAACTGGTTGAAGTTTGTCTTCATGCTTTGACATCTGCTGTTTACCAATACCATTATATCTTGTTTTGCTTTGTTCCCAACTATTCTCTCTAGCCATCTATTTCTGTTGAAGGATAGTGAGAAATATATTTTGGCCCTCATATATTTTGATAGCACTGAAATATTTCATAGGGTCCAGTTGATTTTTTAGAGTAGTCTGTTACTTTTCTAACGCTAAGGATCACATTTTCGTTCTTGTTACTAGTTGGTGGTATTTCCTGATTTCATTATTTCTCTTCTGCAAATAGTGAAAATTATTCTCATTTTGGTTGCTCTATTACATTAATCTTGACTGGTTTGTAATTCTCATGCAAAAGATGGAGCTTCCATTTATCATTATGGGACATTACTCTTATGTTGATAGCTCTATATATTATAGAATTATAATTATGACATTGATGGGGTAAACTGGTCCATGTTTAGGCATCAAGGGAAAGTGTCCTGCAACAGATAGCTGAAGGAAAAAATGAAGTTTCTGCATCTGGTGGAAGCTCAGAGGCATTTGCTCTAATCATTGATGGAAAATCACTTGCTTATGCTCTAGAGGATGATATGAAGCAGATGTTCCTGGAACTTGCAATTGGCTGTGCATCTGTTATTTGCTGCCGTTCATCACCAAAACAAAAAGCATTGGTGGGTTTATGGTCTTTCAGTCATTTTTCTCTGTGATATTTCATTCCAGGTGTTTCATCTGTTGTTTTTTTTGAATGTTCTGCTAATATACTGTTCCTTAGATACTAATTTTTGCTAGATGCGAAACTGAATATTCAGGTCACGAGATTAGTTAAGTCTGGAACTGGAAAAACAACTCTAGCAATTGGTGATGGTGCTAATGACGTGGGAATGCTTCAAGAAGCTGATATTGGGGTTGGAATCAGTGGTGTTGAGGGGGATGCAGGTGTGTAACGGATAAGGGCATTTTTTTGTTGGAGTATGTGACTCTCTCAGTTTCATTGTATATCTGAACACTATTGAAGTTTTCTACATTTGATTCTTCTCAGGCAGTCATGTCTAGTGACATAGCCATTGCTCAGTTTCGATATTTAGAGCGTCTGCTACTTGTGCATGGACATTGGTGCTACAGAAGAATCTCATCTATGGTAATGTGAACCATATCGTTTGAAATTCTTGGTTCAAAATTTTCAGGCAGTTTCAAGTTAAATGCTGGCCAAAACTTGAGCATCAAAATATTCAAGGAAGCCACATTCTTTAAAAAGTTCGTAACTTTCTCTCTCCACCGCCTGATTAACGCATTTGTTTATTTTCCCCTTGCAGATATGCTACTTTTTCTACAAGAACATCACATTTGGTTTCACCCTGTTCTTATACGAAGCATATGCGTCATTCTCAGGACAACCTGCATATAATGATTGGTTTTTATCACTTTATAATGTCTTCTTCTCATCGCTTCCAGTGATTGCCATGGGTGTCTTTGACCAGGATGTATCTGCAAGGTTTTGTCTTAAGGTATGCTCATTGGTATAATATTGGGACCTGGTTTGCTGGCCCTTTCTTTTTATTTCTAAACAAATGCTGCTTGTAAGATTATTGCTCACTCTGTCCTATCTTGCATGACAGTTTCCTCTACTGTACCAAGAAGGAGTGCAAAATCTCCTCTTTAGCTGGCGGAGAATAATTGGTTGGATGATTAATGGGTTTTTCAGTGCCATAATCGTTTTCTTCTTCTGCATGAAAGCTCTGGAACACCAGGCTTTTAACCAGGATGGAAAAACTGTAGGGAAGGAAATTCTAGGCACAACAATGTACACGTGCATTGTCTGGGTGGTTAACTTGCAGATGGCTCTGGCAATTAGTTACTTCACTTTGATACAGCATATAGTCATATGGGGTTCAATTGCTTTCTGGTACATTTTTCTCTTGGTGTATGGAGCCCTTCCTCCCAGTTTCTCTACCAACGCTTACAAGGTCTTCATTGAAGCTCTTGCCCCGGCACCCTCTTTCTGGATTGTCACAATCTTTGTGACAATCACGACTCTGATCCCTTCCTTTTCGTATTCAGCAATTCAAATGAGATTCTTCCCTATGTATCACGGGATGATACAATGGATAAGACACGAAGGACAGTCAAATGATCCCGAATACTGTGATATGGTGCGGCAGAGATCAATACGACCAACAACAGTTGGTTTCACAGCACGTTTGGCTGCTCGCAGAAATAGATTCAGAGATAGACATCAGAACCTCAGTAGATGAAATCTGGCAAACCCTTTTCAAATTAAAACCCCATCATACCGTATTAATCCAGCAAACACAGGATGTAAATATAAAATACCTGCCTTTCAATCCGAAACTCTGGCTTCTGTACAAGGCTATAAATTAACATATAGAGCTTTCTGAGTTAGACGAGTAAGTAAGCTCTGAAATTGAAGAGCCTTATGCAGTTGTAAGATACATATGCAGAAAATGACCCACATTGTAAATTTCAGCTCCTGTCCCTTTGAGGGTATACAAAATAATTAATTCTTTTCTGTATTTTGAATTTGTAGTATCAATGAGAAATGTATTTAATACGGAAAGATTTGTTGTAGATTGGAAAACAGTGCTGTTTTGATGAGAGTATTAATTAATTCGGTATCATAGTAGCAATTACTTTATTTGCTTATCTCTTTGGGTTTAAGCAGACTTTTTATACTTTAAAACACTAAGAACTCCAGATGGTTAATTGCAAGATCAAAATCTTTACAAGATCAAACTATTTACTTGGTTGATCAAGCATATAGTAAAATGATTTTTATTGAATTCATGTGGGTTCTCCGCCAATAAGATTCCAGTTCTGATTCTGATGAAGTATTTATACAGTCAAGGCAACCAGTTCATATATATGATAGATAGTCTGTATGTGTGTGTGTATATAAAATATGAAATGAAAAGAAAGCAAGAAGCTATTGATTCTTGTATATTAATTGGTTGATTTCCATGTTACAATAATTCTGAACAGTTTGAGAGAGGGACAGAGAAATCATATAAAATTTGTTTCCACATTCTTTTTATACAAAAACTCCTCTCCTCTTTCTTCCGGGCACTGGTATTGTACATTTAGATGATTCTATCAAGAATTTATCTCATCAAAATAAAATTCAGAAATATTCAAAACAAAATAAGTAATAATAATTTTTTTTTTAATAATTAAAAGAACTAAATCAGGATTCTAACCCGATATGATTACTCAACCGAGAGAATTTAAATATAAAGAAATGTTTTTTTTTTTTTAACTCATAAACATAATAATTCGTTAAAATTTAGTTTAATTTGATCATTATTATTTTATAATATATTAATAAATTAAATTTACAGGCGAATTTAATGTATTCAATAAAGTTTGAATTGGAATTAGAACACAAAATTCTTAACCACCGTTCAGTGTTGTTGGTAACAAGTAATACTAATCTTGATCACATGAAGGAGAGATCTATATATATATACAAGCAAATTATGTAAGTAGATCGGTCAAAAGGGTTCACATATACTTTAATGATAAATATTGGATCCAACATGAACCATCCATAATGGATTATTAATTAATTAATTAACAAGAAAATGCCTAAACTTATGTAAATATACATAGCCGGCTATGCAACGGTGAGTCCTAGAAAATCAGCAGCAGATTTTGCCATCACGTTAGCAAACTCATGAAAACTAATGACACCATCGCCATTTGTATCGGCTTCTCTCATCATATCCGCTAGCTCCCTGTACGTCAAAGGGTGACCCATTTTAGCCATGGACCCGGCGAGCTCAGAGGCGGTGATGTAGCCGTTTCCGTCCCTGTCAAATGACCGGAATACCTCCATGAGTTGCTCCTGGTTAATCAAGACCTGCTCGTTCATATCTGGTAAAATGGCGCTGATAAGCTCGTCGAACTCAACAGATCCGTTTCCATTGGAGTCAATATTAGCCAGGAGGAGATGGAGTTGGTCGCCGGTGGGTTTGATTCCGAGGGATCGGAGCAGAGCGCCGAGCTCGAGCTGGGTGAGGCTGCCATCGGAGTCCATGTCAAAGCGGGTGAAGATGTGTTTGAGTTGGGCGAGCTGGTCGGATTGGATGGCAGCCATAATCATTGATGGGATGCAGAAGAGAAGAGGAGAGAAAGAAGAAAAGGGTTTGATTAATGGATAAATTTTGTGAGATTTCTAAGTATGGGAGAAGGTGGTTAGTTGCAGACGTGAGGTTTTGAGAGAGAGAAATATTTAAAGAAGAAAGCGTGTAAAGAAATATTATTATTTAATTTTGACTTTTCTTGGCTACTTCTTCCACATGGTCACTTGACTTCTAATCATGTCCAATATGCATTAATTAATTAATTAATTAATTATTTTAATCCTTAAGACTTGATTAAATCGTCTGGAATTTGGAATTTGGAATTTTCTACTCTAATTATAGGACGTACTGAAGAGTATATTTATTATGAGTTTGGTGGGAAATTTATTATTTTATTTTTTGAACTTAAAAATAATTGTATATAATAATAATTTTTTAATTTTGAATAGAAACGTATTATTTTCAATTATTTTTATGACATCCAATTAATTTTTGTTAATTTAGTTAAAAATTTATTATAAACCATTTTCTAAAGTAAGTTTGTAATTTCATGTATTAAAATTTAAGTCTCAATCTAGTTTATAGTTGGAAACGAAATAATAATTTATCTATTTTTTATTATTAAAATACTATAAGATTTGTATTGCATTAATTTTAGTGATTTAAAATTACAAAATAATATTTTAAAATTAATACCTACTTTTTATATCTTGTGTTACACATATAATGTAGTATTAAAATTTTTTTAATGAAACAATTAGAATTTTAAATACATAATTTAGAAAATTTTATAATCAAATTTCAATTTCATAATAATTTTTAATGATATAGTATAAATTTTAATTACGTATAAATATAAAACAATTTTAATATGTTTAGGAAATGTTTTAACCATTCTATTTGAATTTGGGTTCAAATATACTTTATATATTCAAATTTTTATTAAGTAATTTATATATTTAAAAAAATTATTTGAGAAATGAGGAAAAAAAAAATTGTTGATGAGAAAATTATTGTGGGTAGTGTGGACTCAAATACATTCTATTAATATTCAAATCTTCACTAAATAATTTATTCAAAATTATTTTAAAAAATAACTGTAAGTATATATATATATAGATGATTAATAATATTCTCAGTTTCTCAATGTTCAGGCAAAAGATTCGCTGTTCAATTTGCAAATGATATAATTTTAATTCTTCAAATTAAAATATAAAAGTTTGAATTACCAGTTTGTATATACAGAGATCAACACATGCAATGTCCAGAGAAATACAGCAGAGCCTGAGACCAACTTTTTTTAAAATAAAAATTCAAAGATTTTTTACTAATTAAATAATACATACACATTCTGTCATAATTTATAATTGAGGATACACAAACATGTAGAGTTCTACTCGAATTCACGATTATGAATCATTCAATTAAAGTTGTGTTGATAAATTTGTATTAGAATGATAATCAATATATTATTAGCTAATTATAGAGGTGACAATTTCATTTAGCTGGTGCTCTAAAACACACAGGTTATATTCATTTTTGGCTATACACATTGATCCTTCCTCACCCCAGAAGCTTCCAAAAGCGAACTTTCCATTTCTGCACAGCTCCTCTAGCACTTTCTCAACTTCCTTCATGCATCCCAAACCATCCATCCCTAGCTCTTCTATTCCAACACTCATGATGTACCCTTTATCCAATTCTACAACTTCTCCTTCATGTCCACCCTTCACACTCACTTTCCTCGAATCCAGAAGCTTTTTCTTCGCATATTTTTTCGTCTTTCGAATGAGTTTTCTGGGCAGTTTGAGCAGAACAAAGACGAGGATTTGCAGGATCAAGCACTGGCAGCAACATGAGACGACAACACAGTCTGCAGCAAGGGTGTTCCAGTCTTCCATTGTTGTGAAAAGATGAAGAGAAGGAGAGAGGTTTTGAGGGTGCATGAAGGAGACCATTTGCTTCTTTAAGGAATAAGTTCCTTCTCCTCTTGAGAAGTATTATCAAGAGTAAAGCAAACAAAATGATGTGCTGCGTAGCTAGATGAAGAAGATAATTTCGTCATGATTGAACAATTTCTGCCACTGCAAAAATAGCTTCCTTGGTTTTGTGGGTTATCAGATATAAATTATAGAATATTGCAAGTCAAGAAAACATAGGATATCTTTCCTTGCTTGCTTGCTTTAACTCTTACCTTTTTTTAAAGGGGATTTTGGAAGATTTCTTAGGTAACTTAGTGCCCCCCAAGTATGTAGCTTGTCTCTCTTAAATAAAGTCTCCTTCTCTTGGACGGTTCAGCTTATTAAGAATGATGCTTGTCTTTCCTGCAAAGAATTTTTGCCATTATATATTGACAGTTTTGGTTTCTGGGGATAAAATTATGAATGAGAGTCTTCTTTTCTTTTGGATTAATTTTGTGTTTTCCATTTCCCGTGAGATCAGAATTTCTGTATTTAGTTACTCACATGAGAGGACTCGAGGTGGAGAGAAGTTACTCTAAATACGTCGATAATCAGATAATTTTTTTAGTACTTGAACAAAATAAAGAGCAAAATTATATATTATAAAATTTAAAGAAAAAACATAATTTTATTTTACTTTTTAAATTATTATATTTAAAATATTTATAAAATTTTAAATCTACTAATAATTTTTTTTTTATTTTATTAAAATTCTAACAATATAAAATTTCCATTCTATTAAAATTTTAATTATATAATATTAACTAATTCTGCTTGGCTAATTACAAGAAGAATTGCACTTGAGCTAAAAAAAAAAAAAGATAAATAAAGAGACTGAGGATTTCAAAAACTGTCCCTAAACCTAATGCTGGTAATTCTTGCAAGAGGCAAAGGTGATATGTCATAGAATAGCTTAGCCACCAGAAGAACTATGACATCCTGTACAGAGCACCAGACCAGTTGAAGAAGACTTCATTGCTTAACATTGATCATGTGCCTCTCTACTATTTGAATCATTTTGTGTAAAAAAATCTGTACTGCAATTTTGACTACCAAATGCCATTCTTCGAAACCATCTAATTTCTGCAGATTGTTGTGCAGAGTTAAACACCTCGCTTTCACCTACTTTCATTCCATTACTTAAATCTTCTGTTGCTAGACTGTCAAACGCTCGCACAACCTGGCAAACACAAGAAGGCTGAGAAATAAAAGATATTCTAACTCCAACCAAGAATTTGTGCAGTACGAAAGATTTAAAAACTTTTTTAGTCAATTGAATAAAAATTATTTGCTAGTCAAATTGAATAGACAATATTTTATACCTGTCCCATCCGTGGCCTTTTAGCCGCTGAATGCCTCACACAGGCTGCTGCCGCCTCAATCATTTGAAACATTTCACTATCAACATAATTGCTTCCGATCCTGGGATCTGTTAAACCCTCAAAGTTTCCAGTATCTAGTGCGTGGCCTAGCAAGGGTCGGGCCTGAAATGCAAGTTGACTCTCTATTAGGTTAAACTTGGATGATTACGATTTGGTAATTGCATATTTTCTATTCTTTCCAACCAGTCCAAGATCAAATATTCTTTATTATATTTTGTCTCTTCCACGTGCCAAGGAAATTTTAACTTAGGATATGCAATGCCTTCACTTTCATTTATCTGAAAAGTTCTCCATCAGTGAATTTACCCATTCAACTAGGCTCTCATCTCCCATAGGTTGGGATGTATCCACAGGCTTCCGTCCAGTAATCAGCTCCAAAAGCACAACTCCAAATGAGAATACATCAGATTTCTCAGTCAATTTGCCACTGTATGCATATTCAGGAGCCATATATCTGAACAATCATCCAGTAGAGGAATTTAGATACAAAAGTTTTCTTAATAAGACTTTATGTTTTGAAAAATTAGAACTTCTAAAACGAGAAAACACCAGCATAAAACATACGCAAGCATCTAAAGATACTAAGTGCCTACCCGAAAGTCCCCATAACACGTGTTGTTACATGTGTATTTGCATCAAGAGCTAATTTGGCGAGCCCAAAGTCAGAAACCTGCAAGTAACAGCAAGAAACTTTTCAAACCATAACCTACACCAGGAAAATTATCTATAAAGGGGCCCCAAGAGCATGTGCATACCCGAGCTTCAAAATTGTTATCTAACAGAATGTTTGATGATTTGATATCTCTGTGAATGATACGAGGATGGCCTGACGTATGCATAATGGCAAAATAACATATGTAAGAATTTTCAGATACTCAGGGGAAATCAGTTGATGAAGACTTCATGTACTTTAACTCATACCAGTCACCAGAGACATTAAACATAGAAGCAACATCAGGTAAAGAAAAGAATGCCTAGTTTTTCAAAGCCTGATCATACACACTATGATTCTAAGAAAAGAGTTTTGGATTGTTCAGGAGATAGTTTATGATTGAGAACTTATCCATAAAGATTGGAAATCCCTGGCAACGAAGAAAAAAGCAATTAAGATACCCTGCCTCCTTCCTTAAAGAGGTTCTAAAGAAAATCCCTTTCAAAACAAGGATGAGGTCAAATTTGCAAGCCTTTCCTTTTCAAAACCTGGATGGTTTAAGAAAGAAATTAATCCATTTGGCTATCCTTATAAAAATAATAATAATAGGTTACGGTCAAACCCAATTAGAAGGGAGAACTTCACAACTCAGTCTCCACTTAGAAAAGCAGCCAAAGTAAGCAGGTAACGGACATGGTAGCATATATTATGAAGAAATATGTCTAAGCCAAGTAAGGCTCAACAATAAGACACACATGCATTCTGTATGTGGCTTACAGTCTTCATGAAGATAAGCTATTCCACGAGCTGCACCAGCAGCAATTTTAACACGTGTTGACCATTCCAGGA